CAACAACGAAAGGTAAATACAGTGTTCGAATAAAGGACATAAATAATACATCGTGTAGCATAGCTCTCAACGAATATAATCTTGTAAATAAATGAAGAAAAAAAATGTGTAATAAAATGCCTCCGGCGGGACTCGAACCTGCGTCCTCTCGCTGTCAAGGCGAGCGTCATAACCATTAGACCACGGAGGATTCATGGTTGAACAGATTCAAATACCACCAGATACACTCCATTACACAATAAGTACGGCTAGAAACAAAAAGTTGCATATAACACTTGACTACAACGTCCGCTTGTGAAAAAGTCATCAGAACAACCATCACGTGTAAACTACGTATATTCACTGCCAATGTAAAAGTGGTCGTGATTAAACTAACCTTCTACGACATGGTGCTCTGTTGTATTTTTGCCAGGGCACCCGAATACGCGTACACTGCGTATATACACTCCCTGGGCAACCCCGTAAGTTCTTGCAGCAATCGTACCGGCAACGTGGGTACCGTGTCCAGTGCAATCCTGCCCCTACAACATATAAGAAGAATAAAGAATAAGTTTATGCATTTAGGCCAAAATACATACCCATAGCTTGAGCGCCTCATTACACAGATGTTTAGCTACGTTGTTTTCTTGTGAATGTATTTTTATGTCGAAATAATGAAAATAAATAAAATTAAAATTTCTTTTACTACTTCTCTTCAACTTATTATGCTTATCCAACTTACAGTGTCTTTAACAACTTCCTTCCAGTTCTCTGCTCTTCCATCAAAATTTGAGTGTCTAGTATTGACGCCAGAATCGACGACGTACACGATAACACCAGAACCCTTTCCTTTACAGAGATTAATTAAAGAACATGAACTAAACAGGTAATATAATAAAACACGATGGCGACACATTAAAAAAGTTACTAATATTATGCACATTGTAGGTAAAGTTCAGAGCATAGCACGAATAGCATAATATGTGTTCCTGATCGTTATCTGGTCTTTTGCCTCCCAGATTTTAATGCTGTCTTGCGTTAATAAATTATATATTGTAAATTAAAAGGCGCTTTTTACATTTTTTTATACCCAAAATAATCCTTCATAAAATATGTAGCCTCTCTTCTGAAAATAAAATTATAAAGCAGAAAAATACTTGAAAATCAATTAAATAATTAAGAAAATTATATAATTAAAAAAAACATAAAAACCAACTTGATGGCAGTTAGAATCAATGATAATAGCGAGGATGATGCAAACAATTTTAACCATTACAATAAAACCCGAGCATGCGGTCAGTGCATTTTTAGTTTAACTGTCTTGCCTATTTTAGATTGAAGAGCAAAATTGTTTATGTTTTGTCGTAACTACAGCTGTATCTAGTTCGGGACAATTTATAGAAAGCAAATTGCGTTAACTTAAAAGTATATTTACCATCTAATAATATTTAAAACACGTAGAATGACGTTATATTTTTATATGGGCATTTTTGATATATTTTCTTTGCTTGGACAAAGTTTGAAGAAGATTCAAGTACGAAAAGAGACCAAGTGCCAGACAGAAAAAACCCTGTGCAAAAAAGAAAAAGAAAAACAATGATTTTCCACTGGTGCATGCAAAACCAAATATCACAACAAAAAATGGCTTTTGGTGGTTGGGTGGGGTGGTTAATGGCTGCCTGGCTGGATAATAATTGAGAGAGTCATCTTCCCTGCCATGTTCCTCGGGTATACTCGTAAAACACGATCTAAAGTACGTCGTAATGACAGGCGCACATTTAAAGAGAACAACATGAATGACTATTGATCACTTCGGCAGTTGGAAAAGGGGAGGCTAATAATGGTGATTATAATAAAAGGAAGGCCTACAACATAAATATAAAAGTTATATATAAAGTTGTTTACTTGTAAAAATAAATAGCCCTACATATGTTAGTTGAATAAATCTGTTACTATTTCTGCACTAACACTGGTTCCATTTTGTTTGTTTGTTCGTTCGTTCGTTAGTTCATTTACTTATTTATTTATTTATTTAATTATTTATTTATTTAGTTAGTTAGTTATTTAGTTATTTATTTTTATTTTATTTTTTTAATTAATTAATTAATTAACTAACTAACTAACTAACTAATTACTAATTACTTATTAATTATTGATAATTGATTAATTAATTAATTAACGCTCTTGCGTTTTCATTGTAAAATTACAGGAAGTATACAACGGTTGAAACTAAGAGTAGATGGTCAACTAACCGGTTGTCTGCATGGAGACCGGGTACTCTATGCTGAAACTCTAAAGACACTTCTACCAAGGTTTATAAATGTTAACAATTTCAAAACCAAGTTCTTTCATAATGGTCAGACGGTGAGAGAATGAAATGCTCAAAATGCTTAAAGAACGACCACAACGCTAATAATTGTACAAACAAGCTCGTCTGTCATACTTGTGGTCTAACAGGGCACAAAAGAGATCAGTGTAGTGCAGAAAAACTGTTACACGATGATTCAGGAGAAAAAACAATCCAAGAAATGTGGGAGCGAGTGATAGAGAAGAAAGGCATAGACACTGACATGAAAGATGGTTTGGGATCCAGTGAAAATAGCAAAGAAAGTAGCGATGATGATGAGATTGAGGAACGGAGCAGAAAAAAAAAACAAGAAACAAGAAAAGATAACACATTTCATGAAATCACCAGCATCATCTTCAGAGCAACAAGGCAAAGCCGCGAAAGTAAATGACAAGCATGAGTCAAAAGAACAGTCTGAATCAGAGCAAATTTCACCCGCATTACCAGGAGAATAAAATCAAGCAAAAGTAAGAAAAATACTAAAATTCATTACTAAAGTTGAAAGTTAATGTTGTCAAGCCAAATGCAACATCATGATTGGAAAAAAAACGGTATGGTTATATTGTTTTTACATCAATATGAATAAAATAAGTTTTCATTGTGTAACAAAATCAAACAAAGACAAATACTTAAGTGGTGTCATGATCAAAAAGAAGATATTGTACTGTTGCAAGTCTACTGTACGACATTGAAGTTAGAAAAGTAAGGAATAATGTTTGTTACTGGTGGGTTACAATTCCTGAACATTTGGATATTAAAGAAGCAGTTGTTGTCTATTGCTATTCCAAATAAGTACATCCTACAACTTTTCTGATTACAGATTTGGAATCGACATTAAAAGTTGTCCTACACATAATTTAAAGGTTCACACTAGAAAACAAACGAATTAACGAGTCCTTTCAACATAGTATATAACCATGAAGGAGCTGAGTACCAAAGCTGAAATTTGGTTGATATATCGATCTATATCTGATTAACTGGAATAAATTTATGAAAATATTTCATTATTTTAATTGTCCACATGCCGATCCGTTATTGAGGAACATAGACGTTTTTCATTGTTGTAGATCTTTAACATTGAATAGACGCCATTCCATTTTAATTGATTTGATCAGCCTGCGATTGCTTGTGGCTAGGAGACTACCGGTACCCATAGATAATATATTTGTAATATATTGTGTAAACCCACTCATATGGGCACAGGATGACCTTGAAAATCACACTTTGGAAAAAATGGCTACTTTGAGCGCAGATAACTTCAAAAGTGAAGGGATAACCGTTAATCTAAGGCCATATTTTTCTTGAGAACTGTCCACATCACATTTGCCAATGCCATATTGCACTTTGTGATTTTTAAAAAATAGATTTCAAAAGTCTTATGTTCTGTTTTTCAAGGGACATGGTAAATTTAGTTATTGTATTATGAATTTCTGATTGTTGCTGCTCTGAATTTGCGGTGCGGGCTTTTCCCGACCAGCATAAATGCAATTGATTTTATTTTTCTGATTTTTAAAACTTCTAACTCGTTGTCCTTTTTTGCACATGGTTTTTCTTTTGAGCTTGGATATTCTTCAAACTTTGTTAAAGCAATGACAATACATCAAAGACATGCATGTTAAAATATGACGTTACTCTAATTATTCTGAATAGGTTAAACGCAAAGTTTTCGCCTTCAATCTGTGGAATTAGGTACACGAATTATAAATGAGTCCTACTGATTCATTTGTTTTATATATATATATATAATTCATTGTTGTCATTTCGTTATTTTTTTATAATGATGTATATTTTACTTTATTCTGTTTTACCAATAGACATAGTACAATAAGTCTAGTAAATATCTATTGCTATTTATAATTATTTATTAAATTTCGGGAAAACACCAAAGGTTTTACAATTTTTTTTAATGTTTCACATCGGATTCTGCTTTTATTGTCTTTTTTGTAAGCTGGATTGCAGAAAACTGGAGAAGCTTACAAAAAAGACAATAAAAGCAGCAGCCGTTGTCAACTTTTTTATAAAAAAAAAAAAATTTTACCAATTTTCAATAAATATTATTTTCAAGCGTTGGAACTCAATATTCAATCAACTTAAAAAAATGTCCCGAACATTGGGAGTTTCAAATCACAATATAAAATAATGTTATTTAAGCGGTACTACTCGGGAATTTCCGCAACACAATTAATATAGAATAAATAATTTTAATTTTTTTATGAATAGTTAAAACAAGAACTAGTATCATTCTACCTTACGTTTAGTAATATTGGACATAATTACTGAATTGTAATTGTGGTAAAATAACATAAAAATACAGGTGTCTCTCTAAAGATCAGTTTTGGAAAAATAGATGTTTGATCTTTAGCAGTTTTGGCCTTTGCCTGTGAAAATAAGAATAACATTAATTTGGCCGCAAAAATGTAGCCTTTATTTAAATGAATTTTTTTTTAGAGAGAGACTTGTATTTTAATTATCAAATTTGTATTATTTAGTATTAACACTATCATCATTATTATAATGTATACTAGACATTATAATGTGAAACCTCCTACTAATTACCCGTTGATGAATATTCTGAATCAAGTGGAAGGTTCCGCTGGTCAATACGATCTAATCCCCAAACATCGGTGTACGCAGACGGTTCACATATCGCATTTTTTTCGACATACTTTACACCCTTCATTTCAAGAATCTACAATGAAAAAGCAAAAAATCCGAAGTAAGGATACTTGAAATACAGTTCATGATACATACAGATTGATTCGAGGCGGTGAACTATGATTGCAATTTGCATGTTTAGTCATCCAGCTGAAACACAATGAGGGCACCGAATAAAATTGAACCGGAGAGTATGTGTTTACTGAATATGAAACAAATGAGTTGAGGTGTCTTTTCCGGAAGACAACCCTTTATAAATGAAAGGGGTGAGCATCATTTAACATGATAATCTTGTCTTTTCTTATAGGTGCTCAGATGTCTTTAACTCATTGATTAATTTGTGCAACTTTAATTTAAATTATCAATTTAAAAATGAACTAATACAATTTGTGTTCTTTATTATTTACCTTTATTTGAAAAAAAATAAATTTGTTTCTGATAAGTCATCTTCATATGCAAATTAGCTGAAATATGCAAATTAGGTCTGAAATGTAGGGTATTATATCTTGGTAACCACATGTCGTAGAAAGTTGCTTCTTTCTTAAAGTTGTTCAGAAAATGCATGTTTCTATTTACCCTAATGGAACATTTTCTTTAAAAATGACCGGAAGTACCATTTTTCCGACCTTATTAGCATAAATATGCAAATTAGGGGTGGAAATATAGGGAGCTATATCTTGAAAACCACAAGTCGCACAGAGTTGCTTTTTGCAGCAAAATGTTTAAAACATGCATATTTATATTTACTATAATGGACAATTTTCTCTAGAAATGACCGGAAATTGCGTTTTTGATCTTTGACCTCAACTTTGCGTGATTGTAATATCTTGGCAACCACTGGTCGTATAGAGTTGCTTTTTTAAACAAAATATTTACAATATGCACATTTATACTCTAACAGAATAATTTCTCAATATCAACCAGAAACTATTTTATTGACCTTTGACCTATCTTTGCCGTATATAGGCCTATTATATATGTATATATACCT